GATTTTTCATAGCAATAAATGTAAAGTGATTTACTTATTCTGGGACAACCTAATAGAATCATACTGTGTTCACCACGAGAAATGAAATACATGGGAAAATACTGAAAACAACCTGACTTACTGTTCCAACGAAAACTCTTTTGTGTCGGAGGCATACAAGAACGGTGAAAGCGATTTCCGAATGTGGTAGAGCACACCGAAATGCCGCCTTCGGACGGTTACCGAGAGTGGAAAAAGGAATTCTGCCCAACTCTTAACCCTTTTCTGAAATAAGACGGATTTGCTCTCGCTTATTGCTCTTCCCTTTTCAACTGTTACCGGATCGTCTTTCGAGTAGACAAAGGTGGTAAAGACAGGGTGAATGAAGTCCACGTTGGTGACTACGGTCATTGTGCTGCTGTCATTTCTCTTCATTGATTCCTGAAATGCCTTCAGAGGTGCCTGCTTGAATTCTCAATCTCTACTGACAACTATCAGTGACTGTTGGTCCATGGACTATTCCTTGGACCTTCCTACCAATCAATGGACGAAAACACTTACATAAACATAAGCAGCTTGTCTTCCAACGCGAACATCTACGATGTCTTGGATGAAGATGTAGTTGGATGTCTCGCCTACCTGAGAAAAGGTTAAATGATGGGAACCATCTGATGAAGAAATTGCCTTTGAAATTATCAGATGCATCAAATAAAGGAAACAAGTCGGGTTGGAAAAATAGGGGACCTGGGGGGAAAGATTCTGCCCAACTTTAACCCTTTTCTGAAGTTTGAATGAGGAAGTTTAACACCCACCCAATTTCCACCTGCCGTAAGGGGGAAGCGAAATAGTGAAAGTTTCCATCCTGAGCCTCTTCAGGAGAAAAATCCCTCACACTAACGCGGGATGAAGTTTTATAGTCTTCAGTCAACGACCTTGAATCAATGAGGCCGACTGTTACGGGCCTAACTTCCGGCTTCTGATTGGTCTCAAGGACCGGAATGAGTTTACGGAAGGTGGCCACCTTACGAATGCGTGATGTCGAATTTTGTAAGGGTCGTTGGAATGTTTGGTTGGGTTTTCATGAATGACTCAAATCCTTTCAAACCCTAGAGAAGACGATTCGGTCGAAACGTAAACCAGTTTAGGTAATTTACCGATTTCGAAAAGTTGCAAAGATGAAATCAACAGCTACAATAGAAGTGTATTGAACTAAGCTTCGAATATAGACTAAATTATAATATTATATTTTTTATAAATGAGCTTTCCGTAGTGGTAATGCGGGAGAGTACTACAGAAATTCTGCAACGGCTTCATAGAAGCTCACCCGTGGAGTCCAGTATAAAATATGTCCATTGGGATCAACTCGAAGTGTGACCGCTTTTGGGCAATGAGCTGCTTTCGAAGACCTCTGAAAAGTCGCAATTTCTCGTCCACACCAGACTTCAAGAACCTGACAAAAACGTGATTGTTTCAACTTCGAGAGAAAACATTTTTCCCTAGCGTAAGCCCCTGAATCGTTGCAAACCATATTTCATATTGACAAATTCTTAGGGCGGTTCTGATGCTGCTCGGATTTACTCTTTTCTAAACTGGAAGCGACATGTAGCAACAGCGCATCTTGACTTCTTTGACGTGAGGGTGCTGTAGCCATAGGTTGAGCTTTTGAAGATTTCCGGCTTAGATGTACACGTTCGTGGTTCTATCACAGCCATTGTTATCGTCTTGGAGCGCTCGAGTATCACCGTAGTTCGCGGTCTCAAAATTCCAGTTATGTACGGAACCAGGACGGCGTTATGAATGAACATTCATGGGAGCCATCAGGAAAGAACTCTTGCTCAGTTTGAGGGCTACACCAATATAATTGCGGCATAAACTCATGATACATCAACTCACCGACCAAAGGTGCATGAATTAGGACCCACCGGTCAATTTACCGATCTGTTCATAGTACGCTTTATGTGGTAAAGCGCGCTCCCATCATGAGATCCACCAGAATGCATCCACACTGCAACTCTCGAAAACTTATTTCACGAAGGAGCTGAGATTGCCCTACTTGAAGGAATTTTTAGAACATTTTTCGTCTTCCACCCACCAGTGACTTTTACTGGTGACATGAAACTTGACCTCGATGGTCTGAATGGTGGTGTTCATTACTGGAGGATCCAATCGTAAAAAGAATGGGATTTCATTCTTCAGAATTGGAAGGCTTTTCGATCATTTGCCATGGAACTATCTGAACTTACCGGGGTTTCTTTTCGTGAAATGAGCTCAGCGCAATGCCAGAATGTCACAAAAGTCAAAGTCACATTTTCTCAACATAGTCCACGAGGCATTAGGTTGAGCAAAAATTATCCGCCGTTTTCATTTCACTCATAAGTTTATTAACAAAACCAAACAAAAACAACAATAAATGCGTAATCAACAAACGCTCTCGAACAGTCCTCTCTGCAACCGTGCCTTCATCCCAGGCTTCATTGATTCTACGAGCAGATGCAGAAGCATTCGGTTTCGAGCTCAACTTGCACTCATGTAGCAGGGGCAATCTTTTTTGCTAGTGTGTAAGCTCCAGAGTGAAGCAAATACACAAGTGTTGTACATCAAAATGTACAAGAGATTGAGCGCTTTCAGACTACATCATAACTTTTGAAAATAATCAGCAAAAAAAATCAAAGATGAGCCTGAAAAAAGGGCGGGTGGATAACTTTTGCTCAGTCTAATAGCAGATCATTTTTGCTACGTGAGCCTATCTACGAGTTGACGGTTCCTAGCTTGAAACCATACGGGATTGTTATCTCGCAGATTTGTCTACACCTATTCAGAGACTTTTCCTCACTGTGTCCGTACAAGTAATCGATAAATCAGCAAAATTTTGGGGGTGGAACATCAAATCCCATGAGCGCGCACTAGGCAATATTACGAGTTTATGGCATCGTTTCCTACTGCTTATGGTTCACTGGGTAATATTAAAGAGAGCAATGGTTCTGTCGATCAGTGATTTGAACTGTTCCCCTTATATTGATGCTTCTCCAGGCTTAAAGGCAAGAATCAGGATTAAACTGATGGTTGATTCCACTCAAATGTGAAGTATGAGAGGTGGACCGCCAGTGGAGAAAAAAGGAAAGAAAATCCTGAAATACACAGGAAATACGAGCATTTTGCTCTGCTGTGGAGAAGTTCAAAAGACAGGCAGGGAGATGAGAGATAATGTGAGCGCGGAGAGTGGTAGAGAAGTCCGAGAAGAGAGAGCATAGCAGATCAACGTGGCGACGCAGACAAGATATCGAACGGTGGGCGGACCATGTTAAGTTTGGTGGAGTCTGTTAGAAGTCCATGGCGCCTAGGGTCCTAGTGACGCGTTTCGATGTAGAAAGGTGGCGCTACCTTTGCACTTGCGTACCCAGCACTTCTAGCCATGGTAAGGGCTTCTTAGGTGGGTCTGAGCCCGAACAACTTTGCCTTTAAAGGAAGTGTGCTACCACCTTCCGAGTGTCTTAGCACTTATGAGAAATTCTGAGAATTAAAATTTCCACAGGACGCTCGGATAACCTGGCATTCTGGGGATATGTAAGTTTTTCGCAGACGCGTCCGGCTGGTGCGGAATTAGTACAAGGGTGAACTCTTCTGAACGATCAACACGAGTTGTGTAGCCCTTTCTACATCAGCTAGTTTTTCCGTAGCTCTCTATTAGCCCAAATTTGAGTAGTTTGAATGACGGGAGCTAAAAGGTTTATAAAACAAAAGATGAAATACTACACCAAATACTAAATGACCGTACCGTGCGAATATCAACTAAGTAGAACTTGCTGCCTCTGGTGAAGTACGTTGGTACGGACAGACTGTCTCTTGCTGTCATCCAACCTGAACGCAAAAAACTTGCATGTACAAGCCTTAATCAAGAGAACGGAGGTGGCATCCTGCCAATTTCTCAGCACATAGGAAAATTACCAGTCTTATACTATGTGCGTACGACGTACTCAGAAGAGGGTTTTAACTCCGTCATAATTACGCGGTAGAATTTTCACAAAATCGGCGATTTGCCCCCCTCCCTCCCCCCGTAAAGCAGGATCATTTGAGATCGCACACCTACAGAGCGTTCCAAAAGTAGTGTCAAACATAATTCCAAAACTTATAACCCCGAAACTTTACCGCGATTATACAGAGGTGGCCATAAATTACGGTAATAAATGCTTACCGTACGTTTTTAAAATCATTACAAGAGTATTTCTATTATTATTATTTATTACACAAGCGAAGCTGTGTAAACAAACTCCGAACAGTTATTCAAAAAAAACCAACAACTCCAGCGAACAAAATTGTGAATAAAAATCAAAAAAAAACAAATAATAGCACGACTATCATGCAAGGCCTAATGAACTCTGGCATTTGTCTAAGTCTTTTTGAGAACGTTGTAACGTATTGACATTGGTTGCATCTTGCTCAACTTCTCGACCAAAGGAACAGTTCTATGGGTAAAAAAATAACGTCTACAATTTAGCTTAGCTCTACCAACATTGTATTTGATAGTACCACCACGTGTAACAGATGCCCTAAGCGACACAAAGCTTTCAAGTTTGAAATTATCATTGTGGATGAGCTTGTGGAAGAACAGTAGATCATTCCGCTTTCTCCTAGACGCGAGAGAAGACAAACCAAAATTCTTATTTCTAGCAGCACTGGAAGGAATTTGATCATACAAAACCCTAGGCGCTCGTATAACTTGGTGATTATTTTGAACTCTTTCCAACATATTGATTATTTTAAGCTTATACGGATTGAACACGGGAGTGCCGTATTCTAAGATCGGCCTTATAAAGGTCTTATAAGCCTGAAGAAGAACGGAGGTGTTCTTAGTAGAAAGAGCTCTGAACAGATTATGTACTAGTACTGTAGCTTTGTTGGCTATTACTTTGCAGTGCGCGTCAAAGCTCAAATTATCCGTGATCAAGAATCCCAAGTCCTGCACTTCGTTTACTTTGCTAAGACTACTAGCATCCTGAATACTATAGGAGTGTTTAGCGTTGCGCGGGCCTAGGTGTAATACTCGCGACTTCTTGAAAGGGGGAGTCATTTTGAGACACTCGTTCACAATGTCCGCTTTTTGCAGTGCTCTAGTGTCCGTAGGATCCTCTATAGATCGATATATCTTCAAGTCGTCCGCATATGCACAATACTTGGTAGGGTGCATAGAAAGGAGATGCATTAAATCATACGTGTAAATATTGAATAAAATGGGAGAGAACGCCGCCCTGTGGTACCCCGCTGTGACCGCTCTAGGCATAGAAAAGGATGAGTTAACACGCACAACAAACTCCCTCCTGGAAAGAAACGATTGAAGCCACGCGATAATCCGAGGATGGATACCAACCATTTTCATTTTGTGAAGTAACTTAACATGAGGAACTTTATCAAAGGTTTTACAGAAGTCAAAGTACAGGGTGGGCAAAAATTACGGTAACAAGAGCGCTAACCAAACATCTCGATTTCCTTCGAACCTAATAAATGCACCTGGTTGAAGAGACCCCGGAGAGAAATCACTAGACACACAGCAAGGTAGACCGCTTGTGCACAAAGCAAATATTGTGCAACATTGGTTTTGCAGAATTTTCCGAATTCATGCCATTGAACGAGGGGCCACCTTATTTTCCCGTGTTAAAGCAAGTGGGTTATTTTCCGTGGAGTCTACTGAAGACGATGGGCTACTACGAGTATCACTAAAGCATCGACGAATTAAAGAAGATGTTAGCGGTAACTCAGATGTCAGCCTTAACTACAACAGGCCATATGCGTTCCCGAGATGACTTCATTCAGGTATAAACGCAAACAGCGGCCAGTCCAAGAAGTGATGTTGTATTCTGTCTGGTGACCTTCTATGAATACATTGTTGGGGTCCACGTGTGTCTTGCTGGCCGAATTGCTCTTCATGAACTTTATCAAAGGCTTTGCAGAAGTCAAAGTATACTACGTCAACACTTTTGCCCTCGTCTAAGTACTTAGTCCAGTCATTGAGCGCTTGTATCATTGCAGTAACCGTTGACTGCCCTTTTTGAAAGCCATGTTGATTAGGAGATATAACGGAATTATTTTGCAAGTGAGACACAATCCGTTTCTTCAATATTTTTTTTATTATTTTTTTAAATGTAGCTTTTGAGCATTTGCTTCTGATTATAAGATGTTCGTTCTTCAATCTTACCACCTTGATTTTGTTTAGCTTTGATTGCTTAGGCGTTTAGCTATTGATTAATTTCTTCGTTCGCTAACCTTCGATAAACGTATTTTTGTTTTCCAATTGTATTTTTCAATCGTACAGAATTTCTATGAGCACTTCATGCTAATACGGTAATTTGTGGCCACCCAGTACTTAGCATCCAGCAACTTCAACTCACTTCTTACATCGAAGGCTCGAGTTCTTTTACCCATGAAAATAACTTTTATTACTTGCATCGAAAGGCCTACTTTAGGTTGCTGGTTTCATTGAATCTCGTCAAAGTCGCTGCTCAGGGTAGATAAACCAACAAGTTGTAGAACCAATCACAAGTGAGTGACATTACTTTTAGAACACCTTGCATGTCTATGTAATGTGGTGGCATTCGCGGATACGGTCTCCTCTGAGCTCGAAAGGTCGGCCTCGGCCTTATGCTCTTCATAGAACAAAATGAGTTTTTGCGAAAAATTACTTTTTTATCACGCTAACAGATTTCTCAACGTTCGGCATCTCGTCAGGACACTTTGAAGTATTTCCATCCATGGTCGGTCGGTTAGTATGACTGTGAATGTTCGAGCATCTCACAGACTTTGCAAAAACCATGAGAAAATAAAAACTGAGAAGAATATTGAGCTTTTTTGTCGTAAAAGGGCCATGTGTGCGGTGACTGTTAGTAGTCAACATCTCGCATGAGTCTCAGGCTGAGCCAGTTATGATCGTGCCCTGTTATGGAAGCCGCACCGCCTACAGGGCTAAAACGTGGTGGATACTGGGCGTATAACACTAATTTTGTGGTTCGTAAATAATGAAAAATAGCAATAAATAACTTTGCCCTTGCGCAGCAACTTCAAACGAATCGCTGAAAAATACGTAGTGAAACTGGTAAAAACGCATAAAGGAGAAGGCGAAGTTCAGGTGTTCGAAGCGGTGATATCGGAGCCGATGAGAAAATAGAGCTGCGACGACTGGCTTATCAGAAATGTTATCACAATCACGCGTCTCTAACGTTTACGGAAGATTAGTTTTCCTGGGCATCTTGCCACTAATGTTGCGGCGAGCATCTGCCTGCGGTTTCCCGATTGTGGGAATCGCCGTTGCATTTCAAGATCGTCTTGAGGAGATTCGCCTTCTCCCAGACTCGTAATGACAGCTTTTCACTTTCTGTTGGAACTTCAGGTCTGAAACTCGTGATCTCAGCATTATGCTTTCCTCCATTCAAAATGTGCTTCTTGAAAAACAATGTACACTTTCATTATACTGACAGTTTTCTCAACGTTTGACAATTCATCACACCTCTTCAAAAGGTATTTCAATCCTTTTATGGTCAAGAATCTCTTCCCCTGAGCTATGCATGGAAAACCGTTGATTTTGCAAAAATTACGGGGAAAGAAAGCTGTTATTGTGCGTTTCCTTTTTCTGTGTAGGGCTACGTCCAGAACGAATGATGATGATCAAAAACCATCGTGAGCTTCAGGCTATGCCGATGACACAGTCAGTAGAATGATATACCCCTACCAATGCCTTTTGCCCTCGTATGACATTCAAATGGTCGCCTACAGATTCAAAATAAAAACGACTC